TTGTTCATGTCCTTGGAGCTGAGTCAGTCCCTGACCTTGGAGAATGGGGAAGGAAGGCAAGCAGAACAAGGGGATCCACACCATGTCCCACCTGGACCTCGGACACCCATGGTGGGAAGCCCACTGTGGAAACAGGACCCTAGGTGGTACTGACTCAAGGTTTGTGAAATCTCCTTTACATGAAGGTTGATAATTCTCATCCACCAAAGAATCATGTCCGACCTGAACTCTCCAAGCCGGAACACCATGCCAGGCAGAGTGTCCAGAGGCACAGCTGGTGCTAAGACCTGCCCTGTGCGTTTGCCACTGGGTGGAAACTGGCAACGAGGAAGGCCGTCATTGGCCTACATCATGATGTCTGAGGAAGTGCGTAGTTGTTATCTGTTTATTTCTAATTCTTTCTGCTTTAAGTATATTTTAATGATCAATGCTTAGAACTCAAGCTCCTGGGATCAAACTTAGGTCACACAGGGTGGAGGAGAAGGCTGTGGAAAAATGGAGTCCTCCCTGGTCTCAGGTATGTGGATGGCACCTAGAGGGCTCTCCCTTCCTCCCTCCCTTCTTGCTCTGCCTGGTCAGAGCCTGTATCTGGATGCAGGCGGCTCCCTTAAGGAGGGCTGGGCTGGAGGAAGTGTAAATCTCAGACAAGGCAGCCCCTTCTGTGGCCTCCTGTCCACCACAGCCCGCTTGAGGAGGAGTGAGAACCAGGAAGGACAGGTGAGTCTCAACTGAGCTGACAGAGGTCCAGTTCAGCCAGCCCTTGATGTATCCAAGACATCTACCCACAGCAATGAGAAGTGGGTGTGACTCAAGGCCATTCTCAGTCTACATCCACAATGCTGGGAAAGAAAAACCAAGTTCAATTTACCAAAATATCTGTATTATCTATAAAAATTGAACTCTAACGAGTCACTGCTATGGAAGCAGCAATATCTGACTGTGCTGGCTACTGGAGCAGACAGCTGCATCCCACCAGCTCACAGGCAGGACATGGTACTGAGTGGCACGTGGGCAGACTCATTTGTAAGGCCTCAAAAACCTGGACACTTTGGAACGGAGCAATCGGATGAAAGATCTTGGAAACATCTCCCGGGACTCCTGGGCCGTGTACTTGAAATAGTTCTGGGGATGGGCCAGGACATCAAACAGTGCCTTGATCAGTTTCTTATCCTAAAACGAAGAGAATTTTTTGTTACCGAGCCAAAATATTTAAACATTCCGACATTTTGCCAACGGAACTGAAAAGCACTTTGTGAAAATGGTTTCCTCTGAGTTCTATCTTTTTTTCCAGTTTTTATTTTCCTAATTATCAACAAAAAGCGTGTACTACTTTAGAAAGGGAGATTTAATATATAAAAAACTGTTTTCTTTTTCTAAACCAGATGAGATGCAACATTAGATTTGGGGAATATTTATGGGGTAAGTGACATGACAAGTTTTTACTAATAATTACTTGTAAGTATCTAAATTTGATGAACTTCACGCTTAAGGGATAAAGGAGCCAAGGATCTTCAACTATTTGAAGAATGAACATGAAAACACAATTTGCTGCTGGCTTGAATTTATGATAAACAAGTTTCCCACTGCTCCTCCACACATTTCCAAATTAAAAAACAAAACTTCACTTGACAACACTAATAACAGCCTTGTGAATTTTTAAAAAAATTAACTCTGGTGAAGATATACAAGGTGTGATCAAACAATATGGTGAATATTTAAATTTAAAAAAATTACAGTAAAAGACACATTGCCATTAACCCCCCTCAAAATACTCTCCCTCGCTTCAAATACACTTATCCCATCATTCTTGCCACTTTCTGAAGTAGTTCTGGAAGTCCTCTTTTGTGAGTGTCTTTAGTTGTGCTGTTGAGGCTGCCTCAATGTCCTGAATCGATTCAAAACATTTTCCTTTCATGGTCATTTTGACTTTGGGGAAAAGCCAGAAGTCACACGGTGCCAGGTCTGGTGAATAAGGTGGATGAGAACACACCGAAATGTTTTTATTTGACAGAAATTGCCGAACTAGAAGTGATGTGTGACACAGAGAATTGTCATGATGGAGGATGAAGTAAAGACTTCCAGAATTGCTTCAGAAAGTGGCAAGAACGATGGGATAAGTGTGTTTAAAGCAGAGGGAGTATTTTGTGGGGGATTAATGGTAATGTGTCTTTTACTGTAATAATTTTTTTAAATTTAAACATTCACCATATGTTTTGATCACACCTTATAAAACTGAGCTCAGCCTGGAGCAGACTAGGTGTCTGAAAGGCAGCAGTATGGAGCAAGAAGAAAACCTTCTGATGGTGCTTGTGGAACTCTTTGCTTGACTGCTGTGTACATACTCACCTTAAGTATTTCCTGATGGTTCTCAGATGCATAGAGCCTCCCATCTCGAACTATGTCTTCAATGAGTTCCTGGTAATCCTCTGTTGAAATAAAGGACATATTTTGAATTCATATGGTTTAGGTATTTATAAACTCAGTCTTTGTTTTATTTTTTTTATAAGGTTCTGAGAAATGCCCCTTCTGTATCTGCATTCAGAACAATGACCACTCTGATACCGAGAAGGCAATCAGGAGAGAACTTCCACAAACTCCCCACCACATCCTTTCACCTACCAGCATCTGCACCCAGCTTTCCTGCTCTGTCTTCCCTCAAGTAAACTCTCTGTACATCCAATCAAGGTCCATCCCTCCACTTTGCTCACTGGCTCCATCTTCTATCACCAAATCAAGGGCATTATTCTAGTAATTCTGCCTTTTATTTCCTATATGATAAAATTCTCTCTCTACTGGACTTTTCCAGCAGCACACAAACATACTGTTATGTCTCCAGTCCCAAAAAAGGTCCCTCTCTTGACATCATTTCTCCCTCCAGCTTCCATCCTAGGTCTCTGCTCCCCTTTGTCGCAAAACTCCTTGAAAGAATTGTCAACACTCACTTCTCTGATTCTTCTCCTTTCTTTCTCTCCCAAACTCAGCCCAGTCAGCTTTGGACCCCACCACTCCCCCAAAAGTGTTTGTCGAAGTCACCAATGGCCTTCATGTTGCCAAACCCCGAAGGTAAATTCTCAGTCCCCATCTTTCTTGATGAATCAGCAGCATTTGACCTGATCAGTCACCCCTCCTCCTCAATCCACTTCTTCACTCAGCTTCCGGGACACCTGCTTTTTGGTTTTCCTGCTACCCCACGGGTTTCTTCATCTGAGGCTCTGTTGCTTTTCTCCCTTCTCTTCCTGACCTGCTCTTCATTTTCTCATTAATAATATTGGGCCCCGACATACACATTAAATGCAGAGCACATGGTGTAAGACTTCTCCAAATATAACACCCCCGCCCCAAAGTCTAGCCTATTTCCTACAGTTACAATTCAAACCAAGCATATGCAAAACACAATCGTTTTCAAATTCCAGGCTGAAAAAAAAATGCCTCTTTGTGTGCATACCATGAGCAAAACAAAACCAGTCAAATCATAAGAACATCACTGGAACTGTATGGGATGAGTTCTTGAAAAAGTTTCCCCTAGTCAAGTGATGGCAGGTGGAAATTAATAGTATAATACTCATAACTACAATTTAACACATATGCAATATCACTGGTACTCTTTTCATGTGGTAACTTTCTTCTTATTCCCTTATTTTTGTGAAAATAAAATACGAGTAAGGGCACATGTGTTTTATCTTGAATTCCTCTGCTGCAGAGTCTCCGCCTTGGAGGACCAGCTCCTTCTGGTGACGGGAGTTCACCACGAGGAACAGCAGGTGCTGTGCTATGTTCTGCTGTCACAGAGAACAGGAGAGTGGTTTGTCACTACACCAAATGCTTCCAGGCCACTCTCTTTTTTAAAATATGTCCTCTGCTTTTAAGAACTACCGTGTCTGCTCACTAACTCTAACTGTCATGACTGCACCAGCAGTCAGGCGTTGTAGGTAAGAACACAGGCCCTGAGTCTCAATGACCTGTGCAACTCTGTCCTGCTATGACCTCAGGCCAGCTACTTAAATCTCTCCGCCTGAGTGGCATCACCTGTAGAATCAGGAAAGGGTCGTGTCTACCTCATGGGCGATTGTGAGGCACGTGCCATGTTGAAGGCACTTGGCACGTGCCTGGTGCTCAGTGATGCTCAGTCCATGTTAGTCATGACTACAGCTCTCCCCGCTCTCCAGCTGTCAGTGGGATAGTCAGTAGCAGCCCCACCTGCTCTTTCTAAAAGTGCTATCTGTTGTCCTGGGCTTGGAAACCAGATATCAAACTTTTCTAAAATATATGTTTAAAAAAATTTTTAAATAGGCTCTCAGTGAAGACCTAAAAGGCTTCTGTATGGCCAAAGCAGCAGTTTTCAACGATTTTCTGCTGTGACATGTGCAAGACACATTCTTGTGGGCCTAACCGGGGTTATGTGTAATTTCCCCCTAGTTCTCTATTTGAATAAGAAAAAAAAAATCAAACGTTTTCTTGCATCACAAAGGCAGAATTGAGACCAGCTAGACTAAAGTACGTGAGCTTTGGTAACATTTATTCTGGAGTCTCCACGTCTTTTTTGGTTCCTTCCTGATTCCAGATACAGGAGTTGTCCACTGGCTGCTCTCAGGTAGATGAAGTGCTCTGCCTGTCTCAGCAGAGCCACGTGGGGGGCATTTGTGTCCACCTAGGAGTCTGACACTAACAGCCCTTGTCTTGGGTGTTTGACATGGTTTCTGGCACAGAGAGGATGATCCTAGCTTTTGGAACATGTTGGAAATAAACCATGTGAAGCATTTTTAGGAAATCCATAGAATATTGTCTTTCCAAAAGAGCTCCTTTTGGTACTTGTCTGCTAAACACCTTCAGTAGCTCCCTATAAGATTAGGTCTACCCTTCTGAGTTTGGCACTCAAAGCTCTTCACAGCCTAACCCCATCCCCTTCTACTTTCATCTCTCACAGCTAACCCCTGGGCACCCTGCCAACCAACTGGCCAAATCATCTGTCCCCATACATGACAGGTACTCTCTCCTTTCACCTTTGTTATTACCTCTTCCTGAATGTTCTTCCTCCCATTTATGAAAAACAACTTATATGTTCTTTCAAGACCTAAATCTCTTGAGACTTTGCTCTATTCTTGCCAAAAACCCATGTAAAACTAACAGCTGTCCCTTCTTCTATCTCATACAGAGCTTTACACATGCCCTACTACAGCAAGTATGACAATATGTACTTTTCTGTGTTTCTGTCACTAATCATGTTGTCTCTAGTGCTTAGCCCAGTGCCTGGCACAGTAGATGCTCATTAAATATTTGTTAGATGGATGAAAAAATAAGTTCATGAATGAACAGATGACTCTTACCCCACTAGATTATGAGGTCCTCCAGGACAAGGTCCAGTTCATTCTGTATTCCTAGTAAATGTTTTGTCAACCAAGTCTCAGAGCTAGGTAGGGCCCCAGGGCCACCCCTTCGCTTAACGAGAAGAAAATGAAACCAGAAAAGTCATCCAACTTGCCCAAAATCATGCAGTGAGGTAGTGGCAGAGACAGGACCAGAACGTGGGTCTTTTCCTCCTCCTCAGGATACCTCTTAATAAAATCCACAATCGTAATATGTGAATATTTATTGAGTATTTACAATGTGCCAGGCACTGCACCAAGTCCTTATAGGTTATCCCATTGAATTCCTACATTAAGTTTAATGATTATCATCATTTACGCATTAAGAAAATGAGGCTTAGAGATGGTAAGTAACATACACGAAGTCATAGTAGAGATCACACCCAGGCTGTCTGACTCCAATGCCTATGTTCTTACTCAACAAGCTGTGCTCACTTTTATTTATTTTTCTAAAACATCTTTTCATCCCTGTACTCAATGTCCCCAAATGCCTGTTTAAAATTCGGCACTTATGAGTCAGCGATGTCCTTTCTCCTTATCCTGCCTGACTTTCTGGGCATGTGTGCTGGTCAGCAATCCACCAGCTGGCCCAGAAGTCAGTTCTGTTCGAAGCAGAAAAGCTCGTCCCACAGTCTGCAGCCTAAGCTTCATAGCACTTACCATCGTACGTCACGTATGGGACCTGGAACCCTCGGGCACTGTTCCCTTCATTGGACTTAAACTGAATCCACAGCTTCTTTGATCTGGAGGTGAAGGCAATGGGGCGTTCGTAGGTCTGGCAGGTTTCATATGTTGTCACAGAATTGGATGAAGCTGCCAAGGGAAGTCAGAGGGGCAGGGTTTAAGACCCATCACCGAGCAGAGTTGAAGAAACTGAGACATGGCAAATCCAGAATGTATGCCCAAGATCACAGAACTAGTAAGAAGCGGAGCTGGAATTCAGATCCAGGCAGTCTGACTGCAGACCCCACTCACTGCACTGCCTCTAAGCTGTGTTGATGGCAGCGTCCCTTTATGGGACACTGGGTCATGCGTCAGAATGGGAGGAGGGTCCCTCCTGGCTGGACTCTGCCCTTTGCCTTGGTCAGTCTCTAAGCCATAGGCTGCTTCCTAGCATGAAGTGTTCATCCCTGCATGAGCTTCATTGATTCTTCTGTGTCCTTGTGGAAGAGGGTCCCCAGGGAGCACAGAGGGGAGACCGACCCGCACGAATCCCACGGCTTCTGGAGCTCAGCAAAAGGCCTCAATGTGTGGTTTTTGTCTAAATGTTGTTTCTTGGCAAACTCTAAAAACTCATGACTCATCTCTGTCCTAATACAAAGGTGACATTCTAGGCCTGGTTCTCACATTTAAAGCTGGGGAGCATGCCATCAGGCTTCCCACTGGCCTTGGAAGGGGAGGGGAGCGGAGGGGTAGGACGCACAGGTTTTCCGCATCACCAGGTAGTCTCCACAGTCGTCCTCTATGGGCAGGAAGATCTCAGGGACCACGATCAAGATGCGGCGCTTGGGGGGTGGGTTGATGGTCCAGGTACACTCAGTGTTGGCTGGGTAATTGCCTGGGTAGTTGGGGGATTCGATATATCCAGTGAAATCTCCCAGCTCCCCTCCACATCTTCTGTCTGGAAGAAGAAAGGTCATAAGTTATGCAGGCACAACACAGTCATCACTCTGTCATGGGCACCAGCAGATGAGGAGAACCACTGCACCATTGAGGAATGGCGCCTGGAAATGACACCATCCCAGGAATGAGTCTGTCCTGTAATACCTGAGTTCCCCACTGGAAGCCCAACTACATTAACTCCCCACACACAGCTCACACAGGCAACATTTTCTCATTAGCTTGAAGGCGCTCAAGGTCAGGGGCAGGCATTTGTGAAACAAAAGGACAGCTTTAGTTTTCAGTATTTTGTTTACAAAGCCCAAGTACCAGGGAAACCATGAAACACAACCTCTAGGTCTGTCAAAATTGGGAGAACAGAGCTTAGTACCCAGTAGAGAGTATTTGACCCTTTCCTAGCTAGAGATCTTTGATGAAGACATGAAAGCTAGATTCTTTCACTTTTCTCTCTGGTCAAGACCACATTTTATTTTTAGGTGGGGAAGAGAATTCCAATGACCTATCAGTTAGTATGGGGCAGGCTGGATACTCGCCTTTGGCACCAAAGGCAAGGAGTGAACACACACACACACACACACACACACACACACACACACACACACACACACACACACACATAAACACCACCTGCAGGTGGACCCAAGCACTTGCCCTCATAATCAGGACTGTGAAAAGCCTTAGAGAAAGACTTACTTTTACACTGGGTTATGTTTGTGGAGCCATCAAAGTCAGTCGTAGTATTTCCTGGGCAAGAAACACAATTATTTTTTCCAAATTCAGGCTGATATGTTCCTGCTGGGCAACGAATACATCGGTGAGTGGTGGTGTTGTAGAAGTGTCCCGGTGAACACTGAACTGTGGGAGCAGGGAGGGTGGAGAGAATGAAAAAAAAAATTGTATTTTCATCCAATGCAACATAAAAGGTTTCACAGTTCGTGACATAAATTTTTATCCCAAATTACTGCTTTCCTACTAACCTAGGGCTAATCAACACTTAATTCTCTAAATAGCCAGCTTGGGTGGGACTTGTGACTCATGTCGCTGAGAAAAATGCAAGGGATCAAAGTATAGCTGTATCTTCAAAGAGTTTATATGGTCCATGCGAGTCAGGCATAAGTAATCACAACTGAGGCTCCACACAGAGCACATTTCTGAGTATGGATGGTGCAGAACTGACACCGGGCATGAGTTTGGGCTTCTTTAAGAGAGCAGGAGTGGGACTCTGGAGAAGGGGTAGGATTGTGGCGGCAGGGGGCACAGGTCTAGGTAAGAGTGCTGAGAGGAAGGGAGGCTGGGGTAAGGAGCTGAGGAACCTGTGGACACCTGCTCATCTCTCCCTGGTTGTCCCTCCAGTCAGCCTGTCCAAAGGGGCCCAGGTAGCTTGGGGAAGACCATGTCTAGGGGGTTCCTGTGCTCCCTGCACATCCTGCAAAGGTGAATGGAGCGGGACCTGACCTCCCGGCCACTGGGGCACCACACAGGGCACCTCTGGGCTGGGCTTGATCAGAGCTTTATCAGACTCCCATGGGAAATTCAGTTCTGGAAAAAGGCAACCATGTCCTCACCTCTGGTTTCACAGTCCTGGAAGGTAGTGGCTCCCAGATGTTTGGTGGAGAGGCCGCCTCCACAGGAGAAGCAGGAAGTACGGCCGGCTTCAGGCTGGAATGTGCCCAGGGCACAGAGCTGGCAGGGTACAAAGCCATCTGCAGAATATTCACCAGGTCGGCACAGACCTGGGGGACCAATGACCCTAGATGAGCAAGGCCCCCCAGGCAGGGACCCTTTGCCTTTTCTGTGCAGATGAGATCAGACTTTGGTCAGGCCTGTCACCCTGTGCTGACCTCAGCTCCTACCTCAGTGAGTCCTGCCCTGCCGCTGACCCCGAGTAGGTGGCATGTGAGTGCCTGATGTATACACACAGGGCTACACAGCACAGTGCAAAAGATGGAGACCAAGGAGCCAAGTATAGAGCCGGATTGGGTGTGCTTCAGGCTTAGGGCAGCATGGGGCCCAGGCAGCCCCTGCAATGCAGGAGCCCCCAGAGAGAGAGTTCTCGGCTCTCAAATCAATTTGGTCATTTGACCCAGAAGTACACCCTCACCCAGAAGATTACATCCTCGTGATATAAAGATTCTTCTGGTTACGGAAGAGTCTCCCCTGTTTTACCAATTATATTTACTATGTTACATCTCCTTACCCTGAGATGTGTCCTGGGCTTCCTTGATTACTCTATTAAATGCAAGCAACCCAATGCACCTTGACAGAGGGACCCTGTGGCCTTTACTTTAAGGACCTTAATTTATGGTTATTTTTTCAAGTTTATGACAAGAAGCACAGCCATAAACAAAAGGATTTCTAAAAGCACATGTTCCTTAGGAATTAGCTTGTCATTGGCAAAATGCTCTAAAAATCTGTTATCTCTTGTATTCCTAATCCTCTCTCCTTTATTAATTTTCATGGTCTTCTTTGTACCATAAGTTATAGCTATGATGGCATTTAATGAACACACACCCAAGGGGGGAATCTGGAATCTGTCAGACCTGGCTTCGGATTCCAAATTCTCCACTCCTTAGCTATATGACCTTGAATGAGTCACTTTAACCTCATAAAGTTGTTATAGTGATACAACAACCATATGTAAAGTTCATGTAATACACTTAGCATGATGTCTGGCATAGGTAAGTGTTCAGTAAATGTTAGCTATTATTATTATTACTACTGATATTTTTATTACTAGAACTATATCTTAATAAGGTCACATACAAGTATGAACAGATGCCTATCAACTTTGCAGTTAGCTCTAGGATTTCATCACAGGCCAAAGATATGGTAGGAGTCACACTTGTTCTGAGGATCTGATTTTTAAACCACAAAAGGCCCTGCAGCTGAGTCTGGAGTCATTTAGGTGGGAACAAAGGCTGGCTCTGGGAGTCACTGGAAGGAGAGGCTCACTCAGCCGCAGGCATCACCCACAAAACGCCATGTCAGATCACACCTTCCATTTGAGCCCACAGTGTCAATACAGCCGGTCCTTCTTCCATTTAATAAAGAAAGGGGAAGACATTTTCTAATAAAATAAATCGGAAAGAAGCCCACTGAACCTAAGTGAACTTGGTTCCTGAGTTAACATTTTTATGAGACAATTAAAATTTCTTCACAAGAGGTTTTTTTTTTAACAAAATAACCAGATGGATGCTTTTTAAAAATCAATAATACACTATGAATTTAAGAGCAAAGCTGGAAAAATAATCAGAACCACTTTCCCCATTTTAACACTTTGGATAGTCCCTGTGTACTGGCAGATTACTCAGGTCTCAGGGTATATTTATTTACCATGAATGAAGCATGCAGTTGCAAACTTTACTGTTTTTTCTGCCAGTGTATTTATCAGATCGTCATTTATTTATTCAAGTGAGCATCGCCCAGCATGTTTCTGGCACTGAGGTAGGCACTGGAGAGCCAGTGAGGATCTCAACATGGCGCCTGCTTGTAGGAAGCCCATGGCGCAGTGTGCGCTGCCTGTATTGAAATGCATTTATGCCTTCTGTCTAAACAATCATTCTGGAGACGGAAGGAGTAGGAAGGGGCAGGTGGGATCCTTACCTCCACATTCAGACACATTCCAAGCTTCTGAGGGCTTTAGGGCCCCAGGATTTTCTGGTCTCGGGCACGGTTCGCATGTGATTTGTCCTTCCTCATTTTGGAAGGTTCCATTTGGACATAAAATGCAGCGTTCTTGTGCTCCATCATAATATGTCCCAGCCCTGCAACTGACTAGCCAAAGGGGGAAACGATCTGGTCAGTGAAGGGACAGAGGCCAAGGAGGGGCAATGTGAATGCTAGAGATGAAGGTAAACAGATGGCATTGACCCCATTTTCCCCCATACAAACCCCCTGAATACAGAATGTACAGCACCTCTGGGTTCTCTGTGCACACCTCCTCTGCCATGATCCCTGTCACCCACTGTTAGAGGCGTTAACAGGTCTCCCTAGACCATGAGATCCTTGGGAGCAGGGATCACAATGATCCTAATCATTTTTGAGCACAAGCACTTAGTGACTCTCCCTCCTTCACAGGGCTGCCAGAAAGATTATAAAGGTCAAAATCATTCATTGAATATAGGCCTAGTAACAGAAGAACAGAGAGGAGGGTGCTTTTTAAATTCTGGCTGGTGGAGTCCGGGAAGGCTTCCTAGAGGAGGCCGTATTTGTGTTGGGCCTTGAAGGATGAGTAGAATCTCCCTAGGTAGGAAAGGGGGCAGGTTGTAAAGATTCATGCAGGATATATGGGAGGAGAGAGTAGGAAGGTTGGGGATAGATAAAAAACTTCTTAAATGTCGGGCATTTAGATTTTATTCTGCAAGTAAAGGAGCCACTGAAAAGAGAGGAATATGACCAGAAGCTGTGTTATGAAAAGCTCACTCTCTGATAGCTATGGGGAGAGTGGTCTCAAAAGTCTTACAGATAAGCTCTCCAAAATAGCACACTTCATATTTGTAATAAAATTCGTATGTTACAAACAGTAAATCCAGGTCAGTATCTTCTGAAAGAATATAAGTAAACCACAAGGAAATTAATAAACTATGTTTCTGATTATATTTCTTGTGGTGTTAGTTAAATGTGGGTTTATATTTTATTTTAGGATACGAATATAAAGTAAATATACTGAATTGAGTTCCCTAGTATAATAGTCAAACATCATCATCATAACCATCAAAATAGCCTTTCTAATGGCTAACATTTGTTGAGTACTTGTGATCTAGGAGACACCATGCCAAAAGCTTTACATACATGACGTGATTTATCCCTAAAAACAGCCCTAGGGAGCTAGGTACTATTATTAGCTCCATTTTACAAAAACAGAGACTTAGGGATATTAAATAAGTTGGCCAAGTTTCCACAGGTAATCTAAAAAATACACCTATGGTGAGATCAAGAACTTTGAGTTTAAGGGAGAAAATAAAAAGGTCATTTAACAAAAATGCAGACTGCATCACAATTCAAGACTTTGCCAAGGATTCTCTATGGGGCATTAGGGAAGTTTGACAGAGATAAAACACATTCTCTTTCATACTTAAGATACCAAGTAAAAGGAAACAAAATGCCACATGATAAAATTCGCTATTATATCTCTTGAGTGTCTGTCAGGGGGAATATCTGTTTTCAGCCTATCCTACAAATGCAATTTGCATATATATACTTTCAGGGTTAAACATGGCAAAGCTCTCTACTAACAGTAATAAAAATGTCTTTCCAGTGTTCACTCCATAATTTTTTTTTAAATGAAGCTTTTAAAAAATCATAGTAAGCCAAAATTTGCCACATTTCAATTATGATTTGGTCTACTCTAAAGTCTGTCTTAATATTTTTTATATTGTTTGGATTTTCTTTTACAATATTTATGCATCCTTTTTATTTAATTTTATGAAAAAATTAAAAGTGAGCCACACTCTTGCTTTCTTGGCAAACAATATAATGAGTGTGGTGCACAGATCTGTGGCACACAAGGCCTATAATTTCAGACTTATTCTCTAAATTAGCCCTGCTGGATAATGGTTGCCATGATTACTCTGATTTTAGCTCATCTCCCCTGAAAAGCTAGGCTGAATATGTACTGGGGATTCATGACTTGTTATTTTGTGTCCCATCTGACTATCCCAGTGCCTACAACACGCCAGTAAATGAGAGAATAACTCTTTCGTGGCTCTAACAAGCCAACTGTCATGAAGACTGGCAGAAAGTAAGTAAGTAAAACCTAGGCTGTCTGGAACCCCTGTAGCCCAAGTCGTTTCCATTTTGGGGACAGCTGTTTTCATAACACTCGTTCACCTAAAGGGAAAGTGCACATATGATGGCAGTGATTCCAACAGCCCCATTAATTATAACTTAATTAATCACATCAGCATGGACTGTTCCATCATCATTCCTCTGGAAGAAAATGGGTCCCATGGATCCCCGCCATGGGTGGACAACAACGGACCTGGTTGTCACTGAAAAGAGTAACAGGATGGGCTCCTGCTGCTCTGGGTGTCCAGTCCTCCTTAGAACTATTTAAACCCCCCAAAGCCTTTTCAAGATTACATTTTGAGAAGCCTCACAATATCTCACATCTGTTGCAATTTCTCAACTGAGCAAAGGGCTGCGAAGTGCCCCTTGGGCTGCCCTGTGGAAAGGAGGGCACCAGTTCTTTTTTTCTCACAGTGAAAAGGCCTGCCTGTTTCACATAAACAAACTCATACTGTCACTCACAGCTTCCATTTTCCTTCCAGAGAGAAAGACGTACAGAAATAATTCATGCCAAGCACCTTCCACATTAATGTGTTTCTTTCACAAGGTAAAAATGAGCTAAACACTAAAAAGTGATTCTGAAATGTCATGAAGAGACGTCTAAAAACAGCTCTTTGCAAATGTGCTGAAGATCTGGCCTGAAGAGACCTCAATCACACGTTCCAGTTGGTTCTCTTTTCTCCTTGAGCAGCCAGCTTGTTTTGCTGCCCCAGACAAAGGAGTCAATTGCCCCCAGAACACTTCACGATCACAGCAAAGCTTTTGTGTGTCTTCAGTGACCATTAAAATCCCATTCTCAAATTCCACACAGCTGTTTTTCTCCTCCTCTTTAAAAAAAAAAATACAAGAAAGCTTTTCTGATGCAAAAGGGAGAGACCAGCGGGACCAGGATTAATGGCGACAAAGAGACCTGAAGGCTTGCCCTCTTTTCAACACTTCGGCCTTTGAGCATTTCAGGCTATGGACAAACACTATGGTGTCTCTGTGGCTAAGATGGTGAACCTAATAAAAGAGGTCACTCTCTAGCATCTGACTGTTTTCTTAAGAATCACGCCTTGACTTCTGAAGGAGAGCCACTAGCAGCCCACGCGGATTCCCAGGGTGTCCTGGAGCTGTGCTTTGTCATAGCTCAGAGGCCTCAGTGCTCCAGGCAGTGCTGCTGTGGCCTCAGGATCCTGGTTTGAACCCTCGTTAAATGGGACTTGTAGGGTAACAGGAGACAGCACCCCCTTGGGCTGAGAGGTTCATTTGTCCCATCTGCCCAGGTTTTTACTGCGTGCTCAGGTTTGCAGTTTGAAAACATTGTTATCGTTGGGGCAGAGAGACGAGCCCAGCTCCATGCCTTCCTTGCTGGGCTCCCCAGTGCATGCTATGTTCTCTTCAGGCCTAGTTAGCTGGGGCTGAGATGTCACTTCCTTGGAGGGCCTCTTTTGCCCTCTGTTTAAATATTTCCCTAAAGATTTGCCCTTTGCCCTCTTTGGTCTTAATGTTGGCAGCTACCCTTGGGATTTTATCTGTTGTCCCTCTGAAGGTTCATTTACTCATTCATTCAATTAAATACTTATGAAGCACTGATTATGTGCTGGGTACTGTTCTCGGAGCTGGAGATACAGCAGAGAAGACAGACTTGGCACTTGCCCTAAAGGGGCCTTCATTCTAGTGGAGAATTTGGACAACAAACACGTAAGTTTATAGTACAATGCTGACTCGTGTGATGAAGAAGAGGAAAAAACAGGTTCAGCGGGAAAGACAAAGAGCAGTGGGGGTAAAGTTCGTATTAATATGTATGCTATTTTTACCATTTGCCATGATATGGATGGACCTAGAGACTATTATGTTAAGTGAAATAAGTCGGTCGGAGAAAGACAAATACCATATGATCTCACTTATATGTGGAATCTAAAAAACAGAATGAACGAGCAAAGTAAACAGAAATATATCAGAGATATAGAGGAAAAACTGATGGTTGCTAGTTGGGA